CCCAGGGAGAGGTGGTCTCCACACAGTTTGCCAGGATGAGGGGTATGGTGGGTCAGGGGTGAAGGGAACAGCAGGGTTGGGGGTGAGGGGAAGATGCACAGATACAGATTCACAGAGCACCCAGCAAGTAAGTCTGTGGAGTGGGAGGGGAGGGGCAGGGGGAGAGGGAGACGGTGATTCCTTAGATATCAAACTTTTCAGCTGTATAGACCTATTAATTTCAAGGCCAGAAAGAACTATTATGATTATCTAGACCAACCTGCAGCGTAACCCAGCCCATAGAATTAATAAATCCTGCATTTTGCTCATCACGTTGGATTGGGCTAGAAAACATTTCTTTTGAAACCTGCCAAGTTCCTACAGCTGAAAAAAGGCTGTGCAAGCATAGCCATCCTTGGGGAACTTAACACTGGAAAGAAAAGTCCAGGTGGCAAGATTCATTTGGAAAAGTCTGGGACAGAAGGCCAGATCTTCAGCTGTTAGAAACTGATAGAACTCCACTGAAGTCAGACTGACTGACATGGACGGATGATTTGGCTCACAATCTGTTATATTTGACAAGCCCTAAAGAAGCTCTGGGACTCTGGAATCACTCAGCACAGATAATAAGGCTGAGGTATGCCAAAGATGGGAAGCGTAATGAGGAAAAACAGAACTATGTGATTTTACTAGTGGAAGTTCTCTCTGGGAGAAGAACAACTGCTTCTCAAAATCCTGGACCAAAAGGGTTTCCTGGGTCCAATCATAGTTCCTTGATCTCAGAGAAACCCATGTCATGGGAGCAGAACTTCTCATCCGTCACTAGGGACACTAGTCACTGCAGACAATTCCTGTTTGTGGTCACTTCTGCTTTCTTCAGCACCACCAGCAAATGGTGCCAGACCTTCTCTTGGGTGGCCCGGGTTGCTACAATTAAATATTTAGAACAGAGAAACAGAGTCACTGCAAAGGCACACTGGAGTTGTGATCTCAGTTTCTCACTTCAAAGTCCAACCAGCATTTGCAATCAGCATCTGAAAACAAAGACATGGACCACGGCTAAAGCACAGTGTTATTCCTACTGCTCATCTGAGAGGAAGCTTGAGAGGTGCCATCAAATATCAAAGCTCCATTATGCCAGGCACTGCACAAAATGATAGTCCCTTTCCCTAGGAGTTTATGGCCTTAATGACACAGAGTAGGAGAAGTTTTGAGTCTGATATTCCGGCCACTCATCTACTGCAGCTTAAATAAAGATCAAGGGAGCAACTTCCACACAGGTGAGGTCACTGGGCAGGGAAGAGAAGTGGAGGGGGAGAAAGGTCCTGTATTTTGACTCTAACCTAGATGCAATGTTCCATCAATGTGGGACAATTATTGTCAGCAGGTAGGATGGATCCTTTCCCATGTGACCTTAGTGCAGCGGTGGACAAAATACGACCATGGACCACATCCAGCCTGCCAGGCCATTCTATCCGACCCACAGAGCACCTAAAAAATTTAGAAAATTAGTATGCATCTGCCCCTGGCTGCCTGTCAAAGATGAAAGGAGCAAGAGGCAGTAGGACCTAAGGGAAGCCACAGCAGGACCCTCAACAGCAAGGCCTGCCTGGCCCTGCCCCCCACCAGCCGGAAGCCCATCCAGCAGAGGCTTCTGGCCTGGGATTGTGGGGCTGTTTATGCATCCCTGCACCAGGCTGGGAAATTCAGGTAAGAAGGGGGTGGGGAGGCAGGGGAGCCACATGGTGCAGAGCAGCCTGCGGGTGGGCAGGAAAGTAGGGGCAGGGGAAGTAGAAGCAAGCGGGTGTGCAGGAGCATGGGGCCGACACCAGTGTCTTGGGGCCAGCGCTGGCAGAACCCAGAGTGGGGTGGCGGGAGCGTGGGTTGCAGGCTGGCAGGGGTCTATGGAGCTGAGTTGGGCTATGCCAGCAGGGAGAAAGGGGAGCTGGCTGGCTCCATAGAGCCCCTGCCAGCCGGGACCCCGCGCTCCTGCTGCCTCACTCTGGGCCCCACCGGTACTGGCCCCGAGACACAGGCCTTGTACTCCTGTCCGGCTGTTGCTGGCTCCCACGTGCCTGCTCACTCCCAGTGTCCCCCGCCCCAGCCCCACGGTACAAGCAGGGACGAGCACACAGCCCCAACCCCACGCGCTCTGTGCTTGCCCATCTGGGCTGAGCAGTGGCAGCATAGGACAAACTGCCACTCAGCATGGGGGAAAAGTGGCCCCTCCCACTCCCGGTGCTTCCTGATGCAGCTGCTTGGAGCCTGCGCAGATCTGTTCTGCATCTCCACCACGTCACCAGGATTGATGTCTGGGTTGCCCCATCTGAGGCAGCAGTGGCAGCGCAGAGCAGACACAGGGCAGCCTCATGCAGGCTCCGAGCGGCTGCATCAGGAAGCACTGGGAGGAGGAAGGGCCACTTTTCTCCCATGATGAGCAGTAGTTTGTCCCATGCTGCCGCTACTGAGCCTAGGCCCCAGTGCTGGCTCCAGGCTCGTCCATTGGAACTGAGCAGCAACAGCAGCAGCAGGTGGGCAGAAACTGCTGCTCAGCACAAGGAAAGCGGCCCCTCCCCCTCGCTGCTGCTGGGCAGTTTATGCTGTGGCTACTTGGAGCCCACGCCACGCCACGCCAGGCTGTGGTGCAGCTCCTTCACCGCCACCTCTGGGCTGTCCAGCACAGCAGCACTGACAGTGCAGAGCAGCTACAGGGCAGCTCACAGATGGCGGTGAAGGAACTGCACCGCAGCCTAGTGTGGCACAGGCTCTGGGTGCCCACAGCAAAAACTGCCCAGTGGCAGCGGGGCGGAGGGGGAGGGCTGCATTCCCCCCACCAAGCAGCAGTTTCTGCCCAGTTGCTGCTGCCAATGCTTAGGCCTGACGGGTGAGCCCGGAGCTGGTGTGGGGCACACAGAGTTGTGGCTGCACGCACTGGTCCCCGCCGCTACTGCTATATGTGGCCAGGTGGCTCAGAGTGGGCACACTGGGGCTGCACACTGTTGGTGGTGGCAGGGAAGTGCCGCAGGGCACTTGGGCTCTGGGCCGTTGTGGGGTAGGAGTGGGTGTTGACCGGCTCAGGGGTGCATGCAGAGGGGACCTCCCACGTATACCCCACATACCCTCAAACCCTTCCCACAAACCCCACAGCCACACCCTCTGCTACGCACAATCACACAACCCACAAATACCATACCCACACCCAGATTCACACATCCCCACAAAACTCCCAAACCCACAGCTCCCCACAAACCCCACACCCACCCACCCATACCCCCCGACACCCCTGCATACCCCACACACTATACAGGAGTAAGACTACATTTTGAGCTATTATGCAATCACTTCTACATATACAGCACAAACACACACAAATCAGGACACAAATTTTTTTTTGAATTAAGCTAAAATATATTATTATCAGTGTTTGATTTTTAATATATAATTTGTTTATTTTCCCATTCTAAGATGGCAAATCCTCTTCCCCAAAGGAGTGCTTCAGGGGCAAGGGGAGGGACTTCTGGCAGCAAAGATCAGAGATTTGGGTGGGACTTCTGGTCCCAAGATGGTGACCAGGAGGCGGGGCACTTGTCAAGGGACGGGGCTACCCATGTGGCCCTCCACAGCTTGCCAAAACTCGGTAAGCGGTCCTCTGCCCAAAATAATTGCCCACCCTTGCCTTAGTGACACTCATGTAGTTGTGTGTTTTTCTCTTATCCACATACATTGCTGTTATATGAACTGTCTCACATTTTCCCCCAAAGCTTGTACTGTGTTACCCCTGATGTAACGTACTAAAGAATGTTGCAGAAATTTGACAACTGCAACTATAATCAATCACAATCAGTGCCTTCAGTGAGACTCCGCAAATCAACTCCAGGACCAAACTGAGCCCTGGCATTAAAGGATACTGAAGCCAAGGAACCAAATGCCAAGGTTTGAAGTCCCTGAGAACATGATGAGTAAGGACTTTGGGACTGGTCCCCAAATGTGTGCCTGTTACTAGCGATGATAAAACCTGGACCCTGAAGTGACTATTATGATACTGCCCACTCCATGGGCTCCATCAGAGTTAGTTGTATAGGGACAGAGCAACAGCATCTACCACCTCTAGGACATGATGAAACCATCTCAGATTGGCAGTGATCACAGTTAATTGATGGGTGTTCAGTTGATCATGTGAAATACATCTGGTGGCCTTAGTCTCTTGTTGCATTTCTGACCTCCACTGCCCTTGCTGTCCATCATTCAACTTCACCATTCATTTTTGCCATTTTCTCTAAAAACACCCAAAACCGTTAGGCTGGTTCCAGTCACTCAACTCTTCCCACTGTTCTTCTTCCACTCCCCAGCCAGTCTGGCGCCGTAACCAGTCAAACATCCGTTCACCCTGTGCAATGTCTCTGCCTAGATACTTTCTGAAATTTCAACTGCTTTACCAGCTCCTGTCTTTGAGAAAAGTTTGAATTCCCTGTTGGCTCTGAAGAGCACTTTTTATCCACCTCCCAATCCTCTGACCGCCACCTACAGCACAACCAGTCTAGCAAAAGATAATCAGCCTGTATGGCATACAACCAAAAATTCACCCTTACAGGACTAGTTGCAGGTGTTCATAGTTTCATAGTTTCTAGGGTCAGAAGGGACCTGAGAAGATCATCTAGTCCGACCCCCTGCCATGGCAGAAAAGAGCACTGGGGTCAAACGACCCCAGCAAGGTGTTTATCTAACCTCTTCTTAAAACCCCCCAGGTAGGAGCCTGCACCACCTCTCTTGGAAGTTGGTTCCAGACCCTAACCGCCCTGACCGTGAAATAGCGCCTCCTGATGTCTAACCTAAACCTACCCTCTGCCAGCTTGTGACCGTTGGTCCTGGTCACTCCTGGCTGTGCTTGGGGGAACAGTGACTCCCCCAATGCCTTCTCATCCCCCCTGACCAGTTTGTAACAGGCCACAAGATTCCCCCTCAGCCTTCTCTTGTGGAGGCTGAACAGGTTCAGGTCCC